TAAACATTAAATAGTTTAGTAAATTACTATAGTATCCTTTAGTGTGTAAAAATAAAAATCACCTATTTATTATATTTAATAAGTAAAAACTTATTTTATCTATATCGAAATAAAGACGTTTTAAAACAAAAATATACTATCTACGCTAATTTGACAATAAAGTTAAATACGTAATTAAACATTGATAAAAGATAGTTTTGAAATATATGAATTATAAAAAATTTAGGCCTTCAGTATATTAACAAAATTGATTTAAATTAATCGCCATCATAACGTCGTCAGTCCTAAGTCTAGTTAGACATGCACCTCCTCTCCTTTCTCTCCTGAACTAATCTTTGCATTTCCTTAAAACTAGAACAACCCACATCCTTAACTATTTGCAAACAGTAATCTAACCTAGGTGTACCTCTACTCCTCACGACTCCTGTTTCTACCTCTAATATGTCTCTGACTAGACCTGAGAAGGTGTTCTACCAACCTATGTCGCCTATTTTTTATTGACTTCCATAGAGTCCTCTGTTCTCCTATTCTTTCCAATACCTCTTCATTTCTAACCTTTTCTACCCACGTTATCCTCATCATCCGCCTATAACACTACATTTCGAACGCTTCTAACCTTTTCTTTTCCGCCGCACTCACCGTCCATATTTCGCACCCGTAGAGCACCGCGCTCCAAACATACACCTTTAACAATCTTTTTCGAATTTCTAAATTAATCGTTCGCGAGCATACAAGTAACTTCTTTTTATTGAAGGCGACACGACTCTGCGCTATCCTCTGCTTTATATCCCTACTACTCCTTCCGCCCTGACTTATCTGACGTCCTAGATACCTATAATCGGCCACTTCTTCTAAAATTTCGTCTTCTATCTTTAAATTAATCATGGGAATAATAATTATTACCATACAACATTTGAACCTGAATTAGGCTCAGGCTTGCTTAAACGCTGGTTAGTACGGTTTTACAGTTTGTGGCCAATATTGGACCAAATAAGGTTGAATATTGTTTAAAAACATCAGCCTGTATACTATATCTGATCAGTGTTATATTGTAATATTTAAAAAGTAACATCTTGAGGCAGTGCACAGTGCATTTCATGATAGCACTCCAATGCAGACGATGTAAAAAACAGAGCCGTCAATGATTGAGAACAGTTACCAGTTTTATAGCCGTGTTATAATTGACGAAATCGTACCAACTTAGAACTTGCACAACAGCTGGACCCAGATTATTAATAGTAGTTACCATTCGATTGACAAAGTTAGTACTAATACCACAAACTATAAAAATAAGTTAAGGATGAAAATATCAAACAAAAAACAAAGTATTCGCGAGAAAATTATTCGAACATGGTGGTTACATATGGACGGTTCAATGAGAATATACTGGAGGCATCACGCGAATACGCGTCATCATTGCCGGAGCAGTTAGGGCTGTCGGTAACATCATTACCCTCATGGTTATGTTTATCGCTGAGTGGTGCAAGATTGCTTATTGTATTTCTTTTTCATGTACCCTCTCTTCCCTTACATTTTTCGGAGTGCTAGTCAGATATAATGTATAAGGCAATCAGTGTTAAGCCAAGGCTGTATACCACGCTTGGTACGAAGTTATTATTTGTTATCCCTATTTTCAACCAGGTTTGGTACAATATTGACATTCGGGCTTAGACCAACGTTCACTACTACCGGTGTTAGCCTGCGTCAGTGTTGGGACTATCGACAGTTATTCTCTTACCTTCCAGAAACCTTTGTCCAACTTTAATAAAGTTACTCTTTCTTTTAGAACACAAATAGCCCACACCCACTTGGTCTTGCTGAAGGCGTTCTTGACATTCAACGCAATCAACGTCGCCAGACGGTGGTGAACACATGGGACCCACTTCACAACCTCCATCTACTCTTGCAAATGCATCAAGGTGTCAGTAGTTGACGTACCTTTCTTGAATCCAAACTGTTTCATTGAGAGCTTTTGTTCATTCTTTAGGATAGTCTCTTGTTTATTACTCGCCCGTACAATTCTTTTGTCGTACGAAAGAGGCAGATCAGTTGGAAATTTCCTCTTCTCCCCTCCGTGGAGACCAATACTAGGGTGACCTCGTTCCTTTACTTCAGCATTATGCCCTTTCTCTAGCACCAGTGAAAGGTTTTCTGAGATATTTCTGGGATCTCATCCACCCCTAGTTTCAGTATTTTTGGTGTTATCCCGTGTGGTCCTGGCTTCTTTTTTGAAGCGTTTTATTACGGGTTGGATTTCTTTGATATTAGAAAATATCTAAAACGATTTTTAAAGGTGTAAGTTTTGAGTACGTCTCTGTATGATGGTGGGCGTTACGTAAAAGAAAAGAAGTATTTGCTTTGTCGTGTTATCGAAGGAAGTTAAAAATAGTATGAATAGAATGAGTTACAATGGAGGAGGTATTACAAAAGTAGAACAGAGGGCGTTATAGAGAAGTTAAAGCGATGGAGATAGACCTAGATTAGGTTACTATTCGCAAATAATTGAAGATATAGGTTGCTCTGATTTTCGAGAAGAGCGAAGATGATGATAATGATGATGATGAATACTGGACATAGCGGCAATAAACGAATCTTTCGTGAAAAAGCTCGCAATTTGTGATGTATGCAACAAACACTTACTGAAGACGATGGATTTCGAAATAGGAGAAGAGACCGTTGTTATTCACGTTCCCGAAAGGACGATAAAAAAATAATAGTAAAATGCAATCGATGGCATGCGGGTTTCTTGACATGGAATATACAGTCCCCACGCCACCACTCATGACAAAAAGACACGCGCCACTAATTCAGTGTTAATACTATTTATACTGTATGTTGTGTATTATTTGTGAAATATTTGGATAATATGTTAAAGAAAAAAGGAAAAATAAAGTTGTGAAAATTTCTCTGAAATGTGCACCGTCTTTGACGATACCAAATGATCTAAAAGTACACTACTAAATCTAAATAAGTACAGTTCGTTTCAAGAAGTTGGAGATATGCCCTTTCCCTTTATTAGGATGCACCGTAGCATAATTCCAAATTCAATCATATTTGTCTGTGTAGCTCATTTCTTCACTGATCATCGAGCGAGTGCTAGTCAAAAGTGTACAGTACCATTTGCAAAATTATTTAAACTGCTTCGTTAAAATTTAAAAATATGCTTTATTTAAAAGCATATTTAGTCAAAAATAATAACAAGTGAATTAACTTAACGCTCTACACACCTATAAAACTTTTGCTTTGTTTTCTATTGTTAATTTATATACATTTTTGTTTTAAGAAATTGCTAAACATTTTCGTCTAGTACTGTACAGTTCCCACCGAGAGCTCTGCTCGTTCAAGCTTGTTCCAACTATTTCTGTCTTGCTCACGCCTAGTGTGTATTCATTCTATCTTCGCGCATATTTCTTCAAGGTCACAATTCTTACAAGTTGAAATGGACAGTACATGCTTCTAAACTTAATATAATAGGCATGTATTATAACACGTATATAAATTCAGAAAACTTAGACGTACCTCCTTAGATTTTGCACCATTTTTATTATACTCTTTAACAATGAAATGGTACTGTCAGATGTAATAAATATTTCAGTGAAACTATCACAAGATCTTCTTTTTTTGGCTAACAATTTTTATATTCTTCATTACTGTAACAATTTTTGTTTGTTTTGTAGAGAAATGTGCGGCCTTTCTGTCATGCCTAGCACACGCGTAATTCTGTTAAGCATACATTTTAGATGTACCTAGTCTGTCTTACGAAATAAGTTTTAATTGTTTTAACAAAATTTATGGACTGCTTGATAACACCAGACATAATTACATAAAATGTTTACATATGCAAATATGAATGTTACATTAGTACCTACGTAATCGCTGGTAAGGTAAATGGAGAACTGATAGGCAAAGGAACACTGACATGATAAAGTGTTAAAGTTGTAACATCACTAGTTGTAGTTAATTGTGCAATAGTTAACAAAATGAGAAAATTAAAATCCAGTGTTTATACCATCGAAAATAATACTAAAAGTAGAGATACTCAGATTGGTAAGTATAGATATGCCTTCTTACTATCATTATAAGGTAGCTACACTTTTATTCGGCTTCAAGTTGCAATCAATTGTTTTTTATTGACGCATTGCAGAACATAATGCTGATTTCGAAACTGCTATAGCAAAGACGGAATTTGGGAAGTTTCACTTTTTGCTCTATTTCGTATCACTTCCTGCAGCAATTACAACTCAATTCGAGGTCACAAACATGTCTTATATTTTTGCACCAGCCCACTGTGATTTAGAACTCTCTTTAGAAAACAAAGGACAACTCAACGCTATTACGTATCTGGGTAAGACTAATTTTTATCATAAGCCTAAACTTAAACTGTTTGTCGCAATTCTGTACTTAATTTAAGAACTTCGAACAAAAACAAATGGAAAATTTCACTAATCGTAAATGTTTTCAACGTACATTACTTACACACTCTTACAAAACAGGTGTTGAATTTACTATACAAGAATGTTTCTCGATATTAACAAAAATCTATTTATGGTAGCATTAAATTTGTTAATAGCAGTTTGTTTCGAGAAGTGAAATAATTGATATCAAATTTATTCTAACTCTACCAAAAGAAAAAAAAACTATAATTCCCACTACTTTTATACGGACGTAGTCCAGCAATTTAGATTATTTATTATTACTTAGCCTTTGGGAGGGATATTGAGAAACTTCAATTTTAATATTAACATAACTAACGGATATCATGGGATTTTATTACAGGAGTTCGTTTAACCAACAGAGACGTTTTGTCTTTTTATTCAAAGTTTTATTAAGGTTTTAAAATAGTCATTTTTCTGTAGACAATGTAGAATGTAAGAATGATAGGTATCTTCATAACGTAATATTATTATTGAGAATGCTCATATATTGCTTGTTATTCGTTAGATTAAGTGCGATTCAAGTCGTCTGTGTTACAGCCAACCCATAGTGGCTATTTGTTCTTTTAACATTTTATCCTTGTACTTAGTTGATAGATGTACAGTTCAGTAAACTATTTCATCAATAAAAAACAGTTACTGTAACAATGATGGCTAGTGGCACTGTCCCTTCTACTCCTGGTGTATTACTGGCTTGGAGTCTTCCAACATCAGTTACAATTTCTTCCTATTCAGAGTACCCCTATGCCTCCATTCCTATAGGTGCCTCAGGTCTTTACCATCGTCTGAATCTCCCCTGAAGGATTTCTATGTCCTTTCTACCCAGAACTACTATTTCTTCGGTTAGTGGCAGTGTCCCTTCTACTCCTGGTGTATTACTGGCTTGGAGTCTTCCAACATAGTTACAATTTCTTCCTATTCAAAGTACCCCTATGCTTCCATTCCTATAGGTGCCTCAGGTCTTTACCATCGTCTGAATCTCCCCTGAAGGATTTCTATGTCCTTTCTACCCAGAACTACTATTTCTTCGGTTAGTGGCAGTGTCCCTTCTACTCCTGGTGTATTATTGGCTTGGAGTCTTCCAATATCAGTTACAATTTCTTCCTATTCAAAGTACCCCTATGCTTCCATTCCTATAGGTGCCTCAGGTCTTTACTATCGTCTGATTCTCCCCTGAAGGATTTCTATGTCCATTTTACCCAGAACTACTATTTCTTCAGCCAAGTTCATGGATCTCATTCTCACCATGGCTTTGGGAATCTCACCACTCTTGTATATGGTAGCGTACGTCTTTCCGAAGAAGTCTCGTAACCCTTGAGTATTTTTATTGGCTAAATTCTCAAGAGTTTTTCGAGTAACTTACAGCAACAACAACAGATATTGTGTGGTCTTCTACTATTGTTGTTATTTTGTCAGACTATATCTATGTCAAACCGCCGCTACGATACGCCATCACTACGTCACGCCATCCGGCACGCTACGTCAGACACCTGTGACGTCAACCATTCGTCATCCACCCGAAACTGAAAAATGCAATATATTTATTATACCTAATTATATTTTAAAATTACTTTACATTCCATACTTACCTGGCTCATGTCTCACCTTCTATTATGCGCAGCTTCCTGGAAGAACTTGTATAGACCTGTGGACACTCCTGGTTGTCTTGAAAGTTTGATTCTCCTTCGGCTATCTCTTCCCTGCAAAAGAATTTATAACGTTGAGAGTTCTTGGCGATCAAATTTCGACTTTTTTTCAGCGTTTAAGAAACGATTACTCCATTGTTGTTTATCCTGCATTCCTGTTCTCAACTGTTTCTGCTAGCTAAAGCTCTCTATCATCCATCCACCCGGTTTCCGCTTTCCTCCCGGGGCAGTAACTATACGCTACAACCCCTAGACATTGGGCCCCGACCAAAATTTACCCTAAATTAGAAATATACAAGCGGTTTGCACCTATAAGAAACTGGCCAACCCTTATTTTGAGCGTCTCAACCAATTCGAAACATGGACAGTGGGGGCGGCGGAAAAGAAAAGGTTAGAAGCGTTCGAAATGTGGTGTTATAGGCGGATGATGAGGATATCGTGGGTAGAAAAGGTTAGAAATGAAGAGGTATT